GGGGGGGGGGGGGGGATGTTGGCCGTTTGTCTTGCTGGAATTCTGTTTGCAAAAAAAAAAGAAAAAGCAATTTGGTAAATTTGTTGATATTTTGTGATAGGGAGCTGTGGCGAAATGAAAGCAGTTTGGGTTTAAGAACAGAGATAGCATATGATAGATAGTTGTAGTTGTAGGAGGGATGGGACAAGTGCATTGATTTATTGGGGAGGTATTCTGTAACGAGCGACAACTATGAAACAGAGTTGAATAGAGGGTTTGGGTAGGGGTTGGGTCAGGGTTAGGTCTCCTCTATATTGTGTTCATCGAAGTGGTCGCTCGTTATGGAAGTCCTTCCGATTTATTATAGAATATTGCACAATTCCTCTGTTAGTGTTTGTGGGAAAGTCAGAGATTCTAATGTCATAAATCTATCTCTGATCCAATGAGCAGCTAGCTGGCAGCACATGTACTTTTGTTTGAATTCTAGTCAAAGTTATCACAGGAGATGGTACACTTTGTGAGTACTGTGATAGACTTTTAGCAAGTCGATTCACGTTCTTGTGAAATGTTCCAGAAAACTCTTTGTGACCGTTTTTGTGTGAATAATTCACAAAGAAATCGGTTTTAATATGCGTTCCCTTGTGTTTTGAATTATTTTAGTCCTTTGGCACAGAATTCTTCATTATTTAAAGTTCAGGCTTTTTTTCTTATTTTATTGTGACTTAAAATGAAATTCTTTGTAAATCATCTGACTTTGCTTTGGTTGAGAATTGTGTTTAAAGATTTCTTTGTCATATATTTTGTATGTTCTCTTCTTTTTCACAGAGCTTGTGTACAATCGGGCAGAGGTGCAAAAGTTTGCCGAGGTTCACTGGTACTGGCAGTTGGACGAACTTTCTGTGCAGATAAAGAAAATGTTGAAAGGAGAAAAACTGGCAGAGAAGGAAGTCATCCTAGACCTCAGCAACAAGTTTGAAAGAAATGTGGATTTAAGCACTATTCAAGGAAAATGCAAGGTGTGAATGTTTACAGATACATCTTTCAGAAATGATGATATATAAATATATGTCTCGACGTGGTGGAGTCAGGCGCTCGTCAAGTTTTGGGCATATTGAGTTATTGGTATCATCATAAAGCTTGTTCTTTTGTCTTGCTTTTGTTGAAAAAATGACACATCTATCTTGAATAGGAGTCGATATATTTGCAATTGAAGGAAATGGTGTTGTTTTGTTTCAGAAGTAAAATTAGCAAAAATATGGCCAACAAAGTTTGGTGACTACCGAGGCTTTAGAGCCCTTGGAAAATGCAAATTTACATCTTTTGTGCCTTTGATCAATGTTTTTCAGAAAAATCTACACATGAATGTGTTTTTAAATGGACATTAAAGGTGTTGAGCCAAAAAAATAAAAATTTATTTAAAAAATTGCCCAACATCCGTAAAAATGCAGATTTAGTCGATTTCATTATTTTGATGAGTGCCTGATTTCACCACAATGCCTCACACACGCCTTTCGTGTTAGGTGCAGTCAGCTCCAAGACTTCACACATTGTTAGTGTTTAAGTCTTCACAAGAGCTGTCAAACCTGCCCCTCTCTTTTTGATGTTACTCTCTAACTCACACCTCTAATCTTCAGCACTCATATGACCTCATTGTGTTGCAAGTGCTATTTACTACAGCGAAAAACAGTTTGTCTCTGTAATAAATCATGTTTCCGTGACATTTTGTCATTCTGTTGGTTCATATACTCTCAGTTGTCGTCATGTCTACTCTCGAGACACGGCATTAAATTGTTTTTCTCCAGTTTTTCTCATTTGTGGTTATCTACTTGCCCATGATAGAACTGTCCTTTTATCAAATTTTCATACTTTTTTTAACATGTGGGTACATAGATATGCTTGTAGTTTGAAACCTGCTATTTTATTTTGACATGGAAACTTTCTACACTGCAGCCTAGAGAATAGACTTATGACTTCTTGAGTTTATAATGTCATCCTCTAACAAAAATTATTAAGCTTCTCTGAGAAAACTTTTCTACTGCCTCATACATTTTTAGCTCACCATTTTTCAAGTACTAGTATTTGAATCTCAGAGAAGTTGGCGTTCATATTTAACCAATTTTCATGTTATTTACATATTATTTGAAGATAAACTTTGAGATGAATGTTTCTTTATTTTGCCTACTTAGAAAGATGGAAGGGCCGTTCAGTGTTGATTTCACAACATTTTTCTTTGATGATTTTCTGTTCTTGTGTGCTTTTTGGGAGTTTTTCTTTTTTTTCTTTTTTTTTTTTTTTGGTGTCACGATTTGTTTCTAAAGTGTGTCATTTTTCCTTGCTTCAGGTTCGTCATATCAAATGCAAGGAGCCGAATTTCAACTTTTCGGAGAAGGAAAATGAAGATGATGACAACAACAATGAACCTCGTAAAGTTTTTTTTACAAGAAAATTTTTCAATGGCAAGTCAATCGTACCGATTACTGGGGATGAAGTTCTAGATTCATCTTCTATCAAAACGTCAACTCCAAACAAATCTGCTAGTGAACTGAAGAGACTGGCTAAATCAGCAGGCACCCCGAAAGGGAACCATTATAGTCCCAATGGAAAAGTGGCTTCCAACAAGAATGAGCGCAAATCTTCAGAACACTCCACCCCAGACCTGACTCCAAATGGAAACAGCGGACGAAAGAAAAGCTCTGTTTACACAGTAAGTTAAGAACATGTGTTTCCAATTACAACCTGTGATGTTTCAGTTTATCTATAAAAATGTGTGATCCTCTTCTACTCTCTTAACCCATTTCCACCTGAGTTGCCTCCCTGAGCAGACACACCCACCTGGGCTGCCTCCAGCCACACCCACAAATCTAGGTACCCACACTAAAACTGGGCTGCCTCCAGCCACACCCACAAATCTAGGTACCCACACTAAAACAGCAGTAACTTTCCCTCCAAACAGCTACAGAATTAGCGGACAATAAGCGTGTGGAAGTGCAAGAATGCTAACTCTAAAGCGGTTTTTTAAAACTTGGAAAAAATGGACTGGAGAAAGTTTTAGAAGAGACAAAGAGGGATTCAGATTTTTTATAGTGAGGTGGCTGTCTGCTGTCTGGATACGAGTAATTTTGTGTGCTGTCAGCAATGAGTTAAGTGTCTCATGACTACTTTGCATATTTGCATGCCCACGTTTAAAAGTGAAGGCGGGATTTCCTTTTGGCCTTTGTAATTGTTTCTGTGAGAGTACCACCAGTGTTATTTTGATTGTTTATAACGCACATCAGGACAATTTGATTATTCGAGAAGGTGATTGTCAGTACATGAATGTAAAATTTCTAGCATGTTTACGAAGCCTTTCATAAATGTTTGTAGGTGGTTGGTCGGTGCTCTGGTGTGGTTTGCTCTTCTTTCCTATGAAACGTCTATCGTCCTTATCTCCCCTTCTTCTTTCCTATGAAACGTCTATCGTCCTTATCTCCCCTTCTTCTTTTTTATGTTTGTTACTCTCTTGTAACACCTTTAATCTTCTGGTGCTCATATGACCTTATGCAGTTGCGAGCACCGTAAAACTTCTAATAAAACTAAACTTTCATAAATATTTGTCCGTATGTTTAGTACATAATTAGGTTTGCACAGTAACACATTTTTGGTGCTTACATGGCCAAATCTGAGTCGATAGTGCCGTAAAACACCTAGTCAAACAACAAACAACAAAAAGCGATTTGAGGAAGCAGATTGCTTTGACCATGCATGTCAGGGCCATCGCGATCCAGGGTATAACATTTATAACCTAGCCACCCGGAAATATATATCTAGATATATTATGTTATTCACTGCTCTGATCTGCAAATTTGATTGAACAATTTTGTTTTGTCCTTGTGTTCTTGTGCAGTCCACAAGTTTTGAATGGATCAGTAGATTTCCTCTTTATGCTGATTTGACTTTCTCTAAATCTCTTGCAGGCTCTGATAACCCCAAAGAAGTTTGTCCAGCGTCTGTTCAAAATGAACAAAAGTAACAAAAGTGACAAAACTGACTTGTCCTCCTCCAAACTTATGTCTCTTGAGAAAGAAAGATTGAAAAAAGGTATGTCGAGTGATATTTTGTTTCTGTGTAATCTGTCATTCAAATGATGTGTGGGGGCTCTCGTGGCCTAGAGGTTAAGGTGTTGGCCTCTCATTCAAAGGTCCCGGGTTTGAATCCGTGTAGCGACCGAAAAATTTTCTCCTCTAGAATTCTCCTTTCACCTCCTTTCCTGCTCTCTAGCAATATTCTTTCGTCTGCTTTCGTCTCCTCTTTCTGCCCCCACCCCCTCACCTCCTTTGCTCCCTCCTCTGGGCTCCTGACTCTTTCTGCAGCCTTTCTACTGCTACTCCTTGACTCCTTACAGCTGTCTTTCTGCCACACCCCTGATCTTTTAGTAGGAAAGATCTACACCTAGCCTTCTCGGACAAGGACGAAAAATCTCGGAGGGCCCGTGTGCAAGTTGCGCACATTAAAGATCCCTTGGTGGTCTAAAATCGATAAGAGTAGGCTTCGGCCGCCATCCGGGCAAAATTCAAAATTTCCTACCAACTAAAAGTATTAGGTGTGTCCCGCACGCTCATATCACCTTATGCAGTTGCGAGCGCCGTAAAACATTTACCAAAAAAATATAAAAATAAGATGGTCACTTTTCTTCTCGACAATGAACAGCTGTCTAGAACAATTTCGACTGAAGTTGTAAAGGGCCCCTAACGTGGATTTGCTCTGCATAAATGCTGTGACAGTTGAAATTGTCTAAGACGGCCACCTATTTTTGGGCAGAAAAGTGGCAGTCTTAGACTGGTGGATGTTTTGGAAAGAGTTATATATATATATATTAAAGACAATGCAAAGCCCACCACTTCAGTGGCACAGATGGGTTGGTTTTAGTGTGTTAATGATAGAGCAACATTAAGTTAAAGTGTTTACCACATGACAAACATGTGAAGCGTGCTGACAAAATGAGCTGTTTCTCGGATTCAAGCCTTATTTAAATAGATACATCACGCTTATTATAGGTGAAGATTTTACAGTTTAGAAATATGAAATAAAGGGCAGGTTATACTTAAAGTATATGGCATCAATAGAAAGCCTACAAATTGGACCCTAGTGTTGATTTTTGGCCAATATCTCCATTTGTGGTTTGCGAGAAGTAACTCATTTTGTCAGCATGTCTGACATATATAGTTTTTGACAATCTTTGAAAGTCTGTTTGTCTTGTTTATATTTTTTTTTACTCAGCCCCCCACCCAGTTGGTGAAGAAGCACAATTTTGGGATTAATATTTTGTCTTTTCTTCTCAACAGCTGAAAGCTCTCCTCTTGACAAAATGGCAAGACTGAACCAGAAGGCTGTGGTCAGTATGATCATGAATGAAAGTGATGACGAGAACGATGAGAGTGTGGACACGGCTTCTGTCACCTCGAATGTAACTTCTCTTGACGAAGTTGATGGCGGAGATGTTTGTGCTAGTGTTGGGTGGAAACAGAAGGGTGCTGGGATGGCAAGGGCTGTCACCAAATGTGAGAGGAGGGGAAAACGAAGGAGGGAAGATGAGAGTGATTCTGATGACGAAGGTGATGATCACGGTAGCGATGATGAAAGTCAAAGGGGCAGAACTAACGGCAAAAGACAGAAAATGGACATAAGTGCTGATGAATATGAGGACAAAAGTCGAAAAGGTAAAGTAGGAATTGACTCCCGGAAAAAAGGCTTGGTGAGGAGCCAAACGGAGAGGGGAAAAAGAGCCCCAAAAGTGACCATTCGTAGATTTTCTGGTGAGAGGTACAGCGCCTCACTGTCACCCCCTGACAAACAGTCCAAGTCTCCGTCACGCAACAAGTCTGCTAACTCAAGCAAAGACACTCCAGGACTCTCCCTACCCTCTAGTCTTGTTCTAAAACTGAACGGTTCGTCCTCCAAAGTGAGCGTGAAGAACTCTCCAACTGTCTCGAGACTGACTGGTTCCCCGTACAGACGCAAGTCGATATTCGAAGCACCGGAAGGCGATGATCTTGTAAAGACACCACAAGCCAAACGTAAGGGTTCCGACAAAACGCCAGACAGTTTGGAGGGTGGCAGGAGGCGACTGTCTGTGAACTTGTTTAGGTTAGATTCCCCAGGTTTTGTGGAGAAAGTGCTCAACCAGACACCTTCGGGAAGAGGGAAAAGCCCGATGAAGAAGCAGCGGCACGAGTTGCCTTCAATCGGCGATGACGACTCTGAGCATGTTTTTGCTGACGACATCCCTGCTCGGTTCTCGGGTATTTTCATTGACTCCAGTCCCCGTAAATCTAGCGGCAGAACCCACAGAGTTCCCTTGAGGTTCAGAGATGACTTGGACGATGATAGGGAAAGCAGCGGTTCAAGAACCCCAGCCAAGAAAGAATCGACTCCGTCCAAAAAGATGGCCTCAAAGGATGGGGCGACGCCCACAAAAATGGCAACGCCCACCAGAATGGTAACACCCACTAAATCATTGACCCCTAAGAGGACTCTCTCGGACTACAGAACCCCACCTCGTGGGAATGTGGATACCCCTAAATTGTCTGCAAATCGTGGGACTCCGAGGAGGGCGGCTGCCACGAGGGTTAAGTCGTATGCTGATATGAGTCTTCCCAATGACGATGAGACGGGGTCCCCAGTGGCCAAAGGAAACAACTCTAAGTCGTCCAAAGTGAACAGAAACCAAAGGATTGTAAGGTGAGAAATACAAGAAAATGCTCAGTAGCGTACATCTGAACAACATAGTGTAACTAGAACATTGAGGAAATACTTTAACTTTAATTCCGTTCATGATTGATACAGTGAGTCTTTAAAATGTAATGAAAGGGGGATGGGCAGTGTTTTTTATAAAAAATACCAAACTGCGCTGCATGTCTATGAAGTTGCAAGAAACAATTTTGATGGTAAATTAAAGGTTCAGAACATCAGGGTTGTAACCGTTTCTGATTTTTGGGCCCTTCCTGTTGTGAAAAGGTTATTTTTAAAATCTACTTCTTGAAGATAAAAGATGAAAATGGATACACATGACATGAAGGCTGTAATTAATTGAATAACACTCAAGAGGGAACTTCTTACAGTTCATCTTAGACTTTTAAAAGCACGCATGGTTGTTGACAGGTACATAAACATTGTAAGAAAAAGACGTGCTCTAGTCTCCACACCTCAAAACATGTTTTTCGAATACAGTCGAACTTGCTCTGACGGCCACCTGTTCAAATGGCCACTTTCCATTTCCCCCCTTGCGTTTTTTCTATATAAGTTAACTGTATAAAACGGTCACCTGTCCAACGCGGCAGCGGCCACCATATTTTTAACACACAACCCCTATCACACTAAGCAATAACCCCTGTCTTAGACGGCCACCTCAGTGACTCCATTACGTTTTGTCGTAAATTGTGCATTGGCCCCCGGCATAATGGGCGAGCCGTCATAATTCAATCACCTGTCGTTGTTGTTAGGTAGTCCCTCCAACCGATCATGTTGCGTAGGCCCCTCCCACTGTTGACCAATAGCTACCAATTTTCCATGATCCCCTCCCAGAACTCATACACAAATCGTAAGTAAGATGAGTGGTCACTGTTTACACAGTCTGCAACAAAGAAACAAAGGACGTTATCATGAACTTGTGTCTGAAGCGTCGCTCGTTCTCCGAGTGGTGGCGACCCATGTGTTTGTTTTAACATGACACTCGGTCTTCCTTGTCTGATACATTTGTGAGGCAGCGTGGTGGAATCAGGCTCTCGTCAAAATAATGAAAGTGAAGAAACTTGCATTTTTCTTCAAGTTTGTGAATTTTTATCAAATGTTTGCTTTTTAGCTCAACACCTTTCATGCCCAGTAATTAAAGAACTCATTTGTGTGTTAATTTTTCTAAAAAACGTTGATTAAAGGCACAACAAATGTAAATTTGCAGTCACCACGGACTCTTAAGCTTAGTAAATAACTAATATTTGGCGGCCATTTTCTCACTAATTTTACCACTGAAAACAGGTGACCCCCACCTCATTCTTTTGCCAGTATCTCGACTTGTATTCAAGATAGATGGATATTTTTTTCATCCAAATAAAGACAAGCGAACAAGCTTTAAGATGATGCCAATAACTCTACATGCCCAAAAATTGACGAGAGCCTGACTCCACCACGCTGCCTCACATTTCGTTTTATCAGCCACAAAATGAAAATTACAAACAAAATACCAACAACAACAGCAAAAAGTACAATGCGGCTACTTTAGATTTGGACCTCAGATGGGAATGGTTTGTTTTCTTCATCTTGATCGGTCCTGCCTAAGACGGCAACCTGTCTTATACAGCCACTTTTCTCCTTGACAATGTGTGGCCGTCTTACACAGGTTCGACTGTATAGTTGAAATTGTCCAAGGTGGCCACCCATTGTCAAGTAAATAAGTGGTTGCCTTACGACCAACTTTTTGAACAGTGTCTTACTTAAAGAAAACGAACATGGGAAAATGGAAAGAGCTTGTTTCTTCAGGCGGTTGTCTTAGACAGGTGGCCATTTCATTAGAGCAGGTTCAAGTGTAGTTTAAACATGCCGCTTTCCATGAACAGAATCTGTCATGTTTTGTCAGTTTTACACTCATGTGATTTTTTCCTCTTTCTGGTTGGGTCTTTGCGTGCACGAAATAGCCCTCCCAAATTTCTTTTCTTAAAGTTTTGAACTCGTTCTTTTAGAGGTTTTCTTAGTGATCCAGCCTCATGCAGTTACAGTAGTTAATTCATGTACCTGTGCTTTTACAATAACTTTCAGACATTACAAACTGAGCTGATAGTGCCGTAAAACACCTACTCAGACGAACAAACAAAGGCAAGCACGAATGGATTCTTTTTTTTTTTCAGACTAGATGAAGAACTTGATGACAGCGACGCTGATGCTGACTACATTGAAGAGAAGAATGTCAGCGAAGAGAGTGATAGCGACGTGGAGGCTGGTCAAGATGAGGATTATGCTCAGAAAAAGAAAAAGAAAACGACTCAGAAACGAATTTCATCTGTGAAGAAGACTCCATCGCGCACACCTCAAAGACATACAGTATGTGGTTTTGTTCATGCTTATTTTTAGCGTGTTTTGCTTAATAATAATAGATAATAGATAGCGTTTGTATAGCGCAAATCCCCACTCAACAGTAAGCTCTATGCGCTTCACAATCTATACTATCCCCAGCAGACCTGAGGGCATTCTGAAACAGCCTCAACTTCCGTGGAAGCATACATTGTAAGCAGCCATTTATAGGTGTTAAAACACCAACATACTGACAAGATCTTTTGCTGTCTATCGCCGGCTACCCATTCCCACCTGGGTGAAGTGAGGAAAATTCGCGTAGAGTGCCTTTCCCAAGGACACAACGTCGGGCCCGCGGCTCGAACCCCGGAACCAGCAATCTCATGATTACGAGTCCGGTAGCCTAACCACTAGGCCACCGAAGCCACAATCTGCGTACACTCTCTCCACACCTCCCCCCTCTCTTTTATGCTGAAGCAGTCTTGTATAATGTAATATGGAGGACCCGTTTACTTCCTCTGTTTATTTTTGTTGAATTGTTCAGACTTTGTTAAATTTTGTTGTTCGTGTCAAATATGGATAGATCCTCTACAAGAATAAGTGTCGAGAGCTCTTTAGTTTTATTTACCCTCACTTAATTTCTACATTTTAATAATAACACTGCCGGACGGCCACTTTTATGCCTGTGCAATGGATGGCTGTCTTAGACAATTTGGACTTTAGTTATATTTTTGTTCCTTGTCATGTATTTTTCTTGGCCTACCACCTGAATGTATAAAACAAATTGCAATGTCTTCTGCTCCGTTTTGTGGGTTGTTGGAGGGCACCACTGGTAACACTACTTCTCGTCTTTCCCTCTGTTGTTTCTGTGTATTCTCCATTTCCCTGCACAAACTGAGCATTATTATTGTTCTTCTTTACTTGGTTTTAGAGAAAGTTTGACGTAATCTGCAACACAAACAGGTCATATAAGAGCCGAAGATTAACTGTTTCTAGAGACAAACCTACAAAAAAATGGAGGAGGGGAGATAAGGATAATAGATGTTTGATAAGAAAGACGAAGCAAACCTCACAATACTCACCAGTCACTCTCGTTCTTTTTTGCCTTTATAAACAATTTCATGCTTTTATTTTTCCCAGCCTTCTAGTCATCGCAGCCGTGCAAGCAGCAGAACCCCGCAGATCCCATCCAGAAGTGGGCCCAAAGCCACGCCTGGCAATGACCTTGAGGAAGCTCGGGCAAGGTATGAAAGTGACAGTATATATATATTTTTAAGGGCACATGGGTAAAATGGACTTAGTCACAAACTGGAAATCGTGAGGGTATCAATTTTAGAAATTGTAAACTCATTTCTGTTTGACTGGTGGTTTGTTATTGTTTGTTGAATTAGAAGTCAAGCAATAAATAATAATAATCAAGCAACAATCAAACAAAAATACAGTTATGACAAACTTTAAAAATTGATACCGTCACGATTTCCAGTTTATGACTATGCATGTTTTACCCCTGTGCTCTTTATTTGTTTGTGGCAACTGGTGAGTTCAGGCTATAGGGTAAGCGGTTGGAAGACACCACTGGTAGTTTCTTCTTCTTTTCTTTCCCTTTGTCGTTACTATCTGTCTGTCTTACTCTTTCCTTATCGAATGGCTGTTGTTGAATCGATGTGCGTTTCTGTACTCAAATAGGCTGTTACTATGTAGTCTCTTTCCTCTGTTTTTTAAAATGATTGTAGTACTTTCTTAGGGGGGGGAGGGGGGGTTGTTACTCTCTTGTAACGCCTCTTATCTTTGACGCTTATATAATCTTTTGTATTGCAACTTTTAGTAAAGCTATAAAAGTGGGTGGTTGGCGGGTGCTCTGGTGTGGTTTGCTCCTTCTTTTGTATCAAACATCTGTCGTCTTTATCTCCCCTCCTTCTTTTTTGTGTTTGTTACTATCTTGTAACACCTCTTATCTTCTGGCGCTCATATGACCTTATGCAGTTGCGAGTGCCGTAAAACTCTTACTAAAACAAAAAAAAATAAAAGCTGTAAAAAAGAAAGTAAGAACACTTGTACCAACTATATGAACTCCATCCCTTGATCATTTCTGCAGTACTAATTTCATGGTCCATCCTTCAAAAAAAAAAAAGGAAATATGACGGAGAGGGTACGGATTATCTATTCCTTAGAGCCTTGGCGTTGTCAAAAGCTATGATTTGGTTAGTCTGATTGATTAAATAATACTGTTCTGACTGTACAGGTTGCACGTGTCAGCAGTTCCGGACTCTTTACCGTGCCGTGAGAAGGAGTTCTCCGATATATTTGGTTTTGTGGAGAGCAAAATATTGGATGGCACTGGAGGGTGAGTAGTTTTGTATTATTTCTTTTCATTTTTAAAAATGTAGAACGAAAATTTATTTGAATGTGTTTTCTTTTTTAAGAAATGTGTCTTGTAATCGTTGGCTGCAATATTTCAAGTTTTCCAAGGTTTTACTTTCTATGCACGAATAATTTTCTTTTTTTGTAATTTGGATTTTGAGAAGTCATTTTAGTATAGATTAGGTCCCCAGAAGAGCAAGAATGGAGGCTAGTGCTTTTGATATGGTTTAGCTATATTGAAGGAAAAGAACATATGTGTTATTGTTATAATTTCATTACTTCTTTGCCACGACGACCTTATTTCTGTCTTCCATCTTCTATTACTTTACTCTCCTCCCCCTTTTGTCTCTGCCTGTCAGTCTTGCTTTTTCTTGGCTCTAAAGAATTATTGTGTCAGTGTGCTTCTTTTCACTTGAGCTCAAGTCACTGATGAGCTTGCATCAGACCCTGTGTGCTTTCTCTCGATAGTTTTGTAAAATGTGCTTAAAGAAACGACTAACCTTAATCCCCTCACGTCACTAGACGTGTATACATCTCTAGAGGTCCTGTGTTCATACGGGCATGAAACCCATATATTTACTTTCCTAGACCCTGTTCCTTCTCTCTCTCTCCCCCCCATCCCCCCTCCCCCCCAAATTGTGTAGATAGTGTTGTAAAACATGTAAAACTTTCTTTGACAAATAAACAATGTGGGGGTGGTTGGCGGGTGCACTGGTGTGGTTTGCTTCTTCTTTCCTCTCAAACATCTATCGTCATTATCTCCCCTCCTTTTTTGTATTTGTTACTCTCTTGTAAAACCCCTAATCTTCGGCACTTATATGACTTTATTGTGTTGCAAGTGCCGTAAAACACTTACTAAAACAAAATAAACAACCTCTCTCCCCTCATGTGACTAGATGTATGTACATCTCGGGAGTTCCTGGCACTGGAAAGACGGCCACAGTCAAGGAAGTGGTCAATATTTTACAGTCCGAGCGAGACGAGGGCAACCTGGCAGATTTCACATTCATCGAAGTGAACGGCATGAGACTGACCGAGCCGAGGCAGGCGTATGTGGAGATTCTCAAGGTGGGAGTTTTCGGGGCTGGGCTGTCCTGTTTGCTGTTTGTTTTATGGACTTGCTGAGGGATAATTTGTTGTATTTCATTTTGTTATTATTGTATTATGGACATTTTGTTATTATTGTATTATGGACATTTTGCAGTAAAAAAAAAAGGGAATGTGGGAACTATGTTCATTCATGATGGTGGTTGATGTGCTTTGGGTTTTTCCGGACTTCAGAGTTATTAACCAATTTTCCGGATGGATCTGGGACTCCAGATTTCTGAAATTGTCTGAAAAGTTCAGGATTTTTTTCATAGCCAAAAGGCACCTCTGGCCAATATAGTACAGTGCTTTAAAAGTTTTGTTCATGGCTTGAGATCTGGAAATCAGAAAAGATTATGTATTGACGTTCTTCGTCTTTTCAACTCAAACTTTCTCTGTCCTCTCTTGAAGTCAAAACTTTCTCTGTCATCTCTTCAACTCAAAACTTTCTCTGTCATCTCTTCAACTCAAAACTTTCTCTTCATCTCTTCAACTCAAAACTTTCTCTGTCATCTCTTCAACTCAAAACTTTCTCCAATTCCAGGCCTTGACGGGGCAGAAGGCAACTGCGGAACACGCCTCAAACTTGCTGAACAAAATGTTTACGAGTCCCGGTCCTCGCTCGGTGCCTGTGGTGCTTCTGGTGGATGAGGTATGTTGTGTGTGTGATTGTATGTCATGTGGGTGTGTATGTCGCGTAGCCATATATGTGTATGTTGTGTGGTCATGTCTCGTGTGGGTGTCTGTGTTGTGTGAAATGTCTCTGTGTGAGGTAAATGCCATAAATTATAAATTATAATTATATAATACTGTAAATGTTTTGCTCTCCCTCCAATACGATTTTGATCATTGAGTAGGGGGGGTTGTATCAACACTGCCTTTCAGAGCTGACTTGGACTGAGTAGGATACAACATGGCAACGAACAGAGATACTTGATTGAAAAAAACCCAAACTTTCCCACCTACGAATCACATCTTTAGTATGCTACAGTGGAGAGCCTAACTGCTAGGCAATAGAAGTTAGTGTCGATAGCATAGCCATTAATAGAAATCCTGAGACAGAAAATGCTGTCATGCTTTGTTTGGCATTAAAAAAATTTAGATCTTATTATCTGATCATTATCATATCTGTTTTGCATGCAAACATTGCTGTACTTTTATTTGAAAGTTGAATTTTGTTCATGTACATTGTTCCCTTGAAGTTCACTTAGTGTTTTAAAGATTGATAGAAGAAATGTTATTTCACTTGAAAGTCAACAGTTGACGGAGAATTATTGATTTAAAAATGGATTTCCTTGGGGTTTTTTGCCGTTCCAGCTGGACCTGTTGTGGACTAGGAAGCAGGATGTGATGTACAACATTTTTGATTGGCCGACGAAGGAAAAAGCCAAGCTGATCGTTCTCGCAGTGGCCAATACCATGGACCTGCCAGAGCGTATGATGATGAAGCGGGTCGCCAGCAGACTGGTGAGTTGTTCAAGGGGTCGCTTGTTTCTCTGCAGAATTCTACTCTTCTTTGTCCAATCTAATTGTCAGAAATTAAATTAGTGTATTGTGTGTGGGGATGTGTGTGTGGGAAAAATTTGGTTTTTGACATGTACACATGCTCAGCTATTTCTTTGTGACCATTGGGAAGATGGTGCAGAAAAGTTGATGGTTCTGTCGTGTTTGAAAGACTTTGTTTCTCCCTTCAAATCTGCTGTTTCATTGGCTGTTTAAGGTTAATGTGTTCACAAATGATTTTTTGTATTGTAAAGGGACTTTTTCGTTCAACTTTGTTCTGTATAGTATTTTGTAATTTATGTTCATGTAAAAGAATAAGTATTTATAACTTCTTCTCTCACCGCCAGGGTTTGACCCGGATGACATTCCAGCCTTACACGTTCCGGCAGCTAGAGGAGATTGTTGCCTCTCGTATGAAAGGACTGCGGGTGTTTGATGGTGACGCTATACAGCTGGCTGCCAGGAAGGTAGGGTGTCTGTGAAATGTTTTGTGTTAATGTATCCCTGAAGTTGTGTGTGAGTGAAAATGAGCAAAGTTTTGTAATTCTCATTTTTGAAACTTTTTTTAAAAACTGAGGGGGGGGAATTAATGTATTCTAGCAGACACAAAAATAGCCGTGGCACTGTTGTATTTTTGTGGATGTTTTTTTCTTCTCATCCATGAAGATTTCAGTGCGCGCTTTCCTGCCATGATTTGCGTGACAAATCAACAAAACTAACTCGTATGTGGCGAAACACTGGGTCAAAACAAGCTGGCAAAAGTTTTTTCCTCAAGCAATCTATTATTTTCAATAGAAACCTGGATAAGTGGTTCGGACTCGATTTTGTGGACTTCTATTTTGATACGACTATTGTCGTAGCTCGGTGGACAGAAGCGCGCGGCAGTAGTCGTAGCATGGGCGCAATGGGTTAAGCGATTGCAGTCAGTAATTTTTCTGGATTTTTTTGCATGTTTTATTTTTGACGTCATGTTTTGTGTTAAGAGGTTTTAAAGTGTTTCTTCGTGTGTTTCATCTGTACTTGTGTTTGTGATAATTGCCATCTTGTTAGTTAAAGGCAAGTGCTGGTAGTTTGTGTCTGTATTTAATTTCCATTACCCAAATGGATACAACTGGTAGGTCCCACTTCTCTCTTTCGTTTCTCTGCGCGCGCGTGTGTTTTTCTTTTTCCCTGTGCTAAGTGAGTGTTTTTGTTTTTCCCTGTGCTAAGTGAGTGTTTTTCTTTTTCCCTGTGCTAAGTGAGTGTTTTTGTGTGGATGTACTTCTTTTTGCTCAAAGTAAACTCTTTCGACGAGAATTGTGGTTTGTTTCGCATTGCCTTCTTTCTGCACTGAATTGAGCATGCAGTAAGCTCTGTTGTCCCGTTTTATGTGTTCCAGGTAGCAGCCGTTTCTGGAGATGCACGCCGCGCCCTTGACATTTGTCGCAGGTCGACAGAAATAGCCGAGTTGAGGAGCGAGGAGGAAAACATCGACAGCCCGATGGTCACAATGGGAGACATCAACAAAGCTGTAGAAGAAATGTTCTGCTCGCCCAAGATTGTCGCAATTAAGTGAGATCCAAATTGTGATTTATTTACATGTAGTTTTTTTTGGTTTGTTTTTGAGCACTGGTGTTGGGTGTTGCAGTTAGACACTTTGCTGACACAT